AGGCAGTGGCACCCCTTGGAGGAAGGAAGGACCGAGCCCCAGGAAACAGCTGATAGAGCTAAACTCAGCTTGTTTTTTTTCCTCTGTTCAACAGTTCTTGTGCCATGGCAAACAAAAGACATTCTGATTTGCTTTACTGTTTGGTTTGTTATATCAATTGAGTTTGTTTTGCAGAGATCTGTGGGAAAAGGTAGCAAGATCTAAATCCTAAATCCCATTTCTCCCCATTTGCCTGTTTCTGTGCTGCTGAAAGCTCCAGAGAGTTGTGTCTTTGCTGCCTGCACCTGCTGGAACTGGCACAGGGCGCTGTGGAAGGGCTGTCCCCTGTCAGAGGGACGTGTGAGCTGCTGCACTGCAGGCCTGGTTCTGCTCCCAGCTCTGCTGTGCCAGGTGCCCCTGCGCTGCACTGGGGTCTGAGTGCACTTAGTGCTTCTCAGCATCACATCTTGAATTACTAAAAGATTGTAATTATGTGACCTTTGAAAAATTTATGCAGGATCGCATTTCACAAAAGAAACATTTGTATACTTTCAGATGAGTCATTTCTACTATGCCCTGTCAAATCACTCTCAAAGCAATAATTCCACTCAACGGAACTTCTTTGCTAATGTAGCCAAGGGCAGCATGTGCTCATTACATTTTAGAGGATTACTGAAAAATTATCTTTGGGTTGTTCTCAAGGTAGTGAAATAAAGGGAAAGTAGATCTGTGAACCTTTTTCAAAAGCAATTAAAATTTAATTGACTTAAATTTATTGACTATTTTTATAATTCAAGCAGCATATGCAAGTAAACTGTCCTGCTTATCACAAAAGACAATATTAGATGGACAGCAAGCAAAAAATAGCTAGTGTTGTATTGACTAGGCTTTAAAAAGTTCTGTGCCTCTACAATGGCATAAGAATTCTGTCTCTAGTAAAAAGTTGGGATAATATAACATTCTTTGTCATCTTTGTGATATTTTTATAAGATGTTGCCAGGTCAGTGAAGGTGTAATATCATGTGTTTGTGTCTCTGTAAGATCCCTTGATTAGTTAACATATATGTTCAAATGGTTCCTTGTGTTACCAGGAATTATACAGGAAAGAAGAGAATAATGTGCTTAGTCTCAGTCAAAACCCACTGAATGTCCTAATAGTTTAGAGTTGATAACAAAGAAATTAACTTTGAGTATGGGTTTTTTATTTCCTCTGTTTCCATTAAAAGAGTGAAATTTGTCCATGTAAAGTAAGATCTAGTAAGAAAAAGTGGATTTTGTTTAATATACAGCTTCTGAATTCACTTGTCAATTGTACAGAATGAAAACCTCTGCAAAATCATACAAACCTCCTGATTTTTTGTATGATAGACATATCACTATCCCATACTTGGAGATATCCATCCTGAGGCATGGTCAGATAATTCTAACTGAATTAAATACTCAATACCAGTCTGTGGGAAATAGACCCCTTCAAAAAATAATGCATTTATCTTTTGTGGTAGCTTTTAATTTCTTTGCTTTCTGTCCTTTTTTTTTTTTCATTTTTGCATTAGAATATAATTTACAGTATACTTGTTTACTCCACACCTGCCAAGAGTAATTTACTTTCCTTCACTTTTGCTTTGGGAATCAGTGGATAAGTTTTCCCCCTAATACATTATTTTTTGTTTCACTGCTAATGATAGTTGTACAGTTTAATAACTCCCTTCACAAAACTTCTGTTTTACCTCCTTAGATAAACCTCTCCTGAGGCTTTCCTGCCTTTCCTGTTGCCCTGGGATCTCTCTGTTCCTGGAAAGATGATCTGATTTTTACATCTTGTTCTCCATAATGATTAGTGTAGGGATGTTAGGTATTACCTTCCCTCTAATGCTGCCTACTCTCCAAAGATAGAAATAAATCTTCATTTGAAGGATCTGTGTCCTTCCAGGTGCTGAATAATTCCTTATTTGTGTTCTCTAATATGGCAAATGCTAAAGGCTTTAGCATCTTTCTCCGCAAATCATTTTGCCAAAACTACACATATAGAGAAATAGGTAGAAAAGACTAAAATTTAAGCTCTTTTCTTCCTATCTTCAAATTCCTGCTGTGTTAAAAATAGAGTTTTATGTATTTCTCCCTCCTTATTGTTTTTTTTCCCCCCTTAAAAATCCCTGTTCACTAGCGAAATGTGTTTCCTTCTGCTATAAAATTGTCATGTTTTAGTGCATTTTAAAAATCTCAAATCTTACAAGATCCAGTTTAGATTCCTGCTTCTTGGCCTGTTCCTTCATTGTGAATAGAAGGACAGCTTCAGGGTTGGGAGAGCTTTGGTTTTAGATTCGAGTTTGGATGATATTCTATGAGAAAACCAGCACATTAAATTCTGAATTGAAATGGTTTGGCATATCAGAGGAATGATATGTTTCTAGACTTCCTCAGAGGGAGCTGGATCAGCCCAGTAACAGCTCAAGATTCCAGAGTTACTAATTTAGAGTGTAGAAGTTTAGTTCTTGTTTACATGTAAGCTCACCCACAGCCTGTCACTTTAGCCTGCAGGGAGGCTGTTGTTGGTCCATTCTGTTTTCTGTTAAGTTGTGGTTGTGCTGTCCTTGTGGTCTGTGGTGATGGCCTTGCTTTCTCTGTTCTTGAGAAACACAAGCACCATGTCAAAGCAGGGTGTTCTTCCAAATGGTGTGTCCTGCTGGAGCCTGCCTTGAAAATGCCCATGGAACAGACTGAACTTACTTGGCAATTACTTCTTTTGAAAAAACAGCTGTGGAAGAGAAAATACAAGTGGAAAGAAACAGTCTGAGAGGAGCTGCCTTGAGACACATCTGTGACAGTAGATTTCTGACTTCTCCATGTCAGATGTATCCAGGTTCTGAGTGATGATGCTAAGTTGCAGCAAAGTAATCTCTTATCAAAAGGACCATATTGTGCTGTCAGGGCACATTTTGATAATAATGTGATTCAATAGTTCTTCAAGGCATTAGTGCCCTAACTTCATCTCAGTAAAAATAAGAATGTTTATTGCTTCCCAGAAGGAGAAAAAAAAAGCAAAGAAAAAAGAGTTCCAGAAACCTATTTAGAGCTGTGTTTACTAATCCACAGTGAGCTCTGTGTGCAAGCTTTTGTATCAAAGTTTCTCTACTACTTTCAACTTCTCCTCTCCCTTCTAGGTTTTCTGAGGCCAGATGGATCTGGGGTCTGTGGTCTGTATTTGAACATTTGTCCCCTTCTCTGAACAGAGCAGCAATTATACCTAAAAATGTAATACTGTCAGGGTATCTCTCAATATTTTAGTTAGAGAAACCCACTGTAAGCAGGGCAAATTGCCTGTGGGATGATGTCAGCAGCTGCAGTGCCTGTGCTGCTCCTCTGTACTTCTGTAGCTTTAGTGAGAGAGGCAACTGTTCGCTTTTAACCTTTCCTTTTGCTTTCAACCTGACTGATACTTCTGTTCTTCTCATCTCATTTCTATTTTTCACTCATATGGAGGATTTTGTTCTATATCCTTAAAAGCAAAACAAAACCCCAAACTACAAGGAGAGAAAATAAAGTGCATTTAATTTTCTGTCTGTTAGGCTTATGTTTTACTTGATGCTAAGATGTTCCCTCTTGCACACATTGTTCACAGTAGAGACATATGTCATAATGTGTAGTGACACAAGCTGAAGTTTGTGGGGAGACTTGACTTGGAAGTACTGTGCCTAAATTTGCAAAAATCAGAGGGGTTATCCAACCCCATAAAATAAAATTCATCTGTTGAGCTGTACTTTTTATAAATACAATTTGTCCAAATGAGCTTAGCTTTACCTTTTTCTAACTGTTTTGCTTTGGAGTGAATCTCTGTCACTGATTGTATTCTGATACAGTAATAATGACCATCTTGAGTAAGCTTTAGTGGGATTTTGCACAGACATAGTTTTAAATTGTTATACTGGTAATACATCAGTCCCAGTATTTAAATAATATATGAGAGGTTCAAGCAACTTCTGACGTGGTTATCACTGTTAGCTGCTTCTGGGAAATAAATCATATAGAGCATGAGACACAGCATTAAATGTGGGTTCAGCTGAGGAAATGCTGTTGTGATTGAAATCCCACATCCTCACTCATGTAACAGTGCAGCAGAGAGAGCTGATCCCCCCACTTCCCTGCCAGGTGAATCAGCTCCCTGGGGCCAGAGGCAGCAGGAGCTATTTCAGTCCCTGCAGCCTGTCCCCCAAGGGAAGGTGGCAGGGCTGGCTGGGAAGAAAGCAGGCACAGGTCCCTCTCAAAGAGTGGCCATTTCTTCTCTCAGAGAAGGGGCCATTTGTGCTATGAATAGTCTTTATTCAGGCATCTTTTTTTAGTTGGGAAGTATGAACTTGTTCCTTCACCTAAATGTGTGTAATTTATTAATTATAATTTTCATAGGTTTACTTTCTTAGAGTGGTTTTTAAGAGTTTTCCTTGGCCCTTGGTGGTAGAACATTTATCCAGAAACCAAGAAGGTGGAAGCTGAGAACTTCCTCATTGCAGCTCAGCTACTGGCTTGATGAGAATTTTCTCACTGGCAGCAGAGCCCTGTGTTGGACCAATTACATAACCATTGCACAGGGTGGGAATCAGTGACTGTTTTGCCTGGGTTTTGTATTTTTTTAAATCTTATCAAGTTGATATTGCTACTCGTGTTTACACAACAGAACTAAGAATATCTACCATGAAAAAAAAAAATAAAATGGAGGAAGGAAGCAAGCTAGCCATGAATTTAAAATTAAACCACTTTTAGGTAGAAATTGCACTGATATTTCAACTTTGAAAAGCATCTTTAAGACAGTTCTCTTATGTGCCAAGGTGTTTAAAGAGAGATATGGTCCATGTCCTAAAAAAGTTATACCTCACCAATTCTACATTAAAAAATAGGTCAGGGATTCTAGATACCAAATAAATCAGTAGAATTACTAATATTTTGGAAGAATTATAGACTAGTCTGTTTAACTGTATGCATTTCACTCCTGGCATTGTGAAGTAAACCTGTCTGTGTGTTTGCCATAGGCTGGGACAAATGGCTACATGGCTCCTGAGATCCTGAAGGAAGAGGACTACAGCTATCCTGTGGACTGGTTTGCTATGGGCTGCACTATTTATGAGATGGTTGCTGGGAGAACACCATTCAAGGATTTCAAAGAGAAGGTCAATAAGGATGAGGTTAGAAGAAGAACTCTGGAAGATGAGGTGAAATTTGAACATGCTGGCTTTACAGAGGAAGCAAAAGATATTTGCAAGCTGTTTTTGGCTAAGAAAAAAGAGGAACGTTTGGGAAGCAGGTATGCCTTCTCAATCTCAGTGCAAGGGAAATTAAAGCTGCAAGCAATATAGTTATTTCACTCATTGCAAAAATAGGTTAGAACCTCACTTTCTACAGAGTAATGGATTTTGATTTTCCCTTTCACTTCTAAGAAGAAAGAGGTGGAAAGTATTGAAGATAATATGGAAATAAGGAATATTGTTGCAATAATGTGATGATCTGTCTCACTCCAAATGACTCACAGGAGTTGTCTTCTTGTTATTTTCTGTGTTAGACTCTATATAGTTTTGGGAGAAAGAGTCAGAAGGGTTTTTCTTACACATTCTTTCCTAAAGATAAAAGGATATTCCAGTGGCCACCTGCATCCCTGCTAGTGCAGACTGAATGCAGATATTAGGCTGTAGTGCTTACTGGAATGATGTGGGCAGAAATCCAGATCTGCAAAGTGGATTCTCTTCCCTGCAGATATCTAATTTGCAAGGCTGCATCATTGGCTTCTAACTGAAGAGACCTTAACCCCTCTGTTTTGCTCAAGTGCTTTTAAAAAATGCTGTAGAAGTTCTGGTCATCCTGACTCATCCCAGGGAGAAAAAGAGTATTTGGCACAAATTCCTATAAAGCAAAACATTTCTGGGCACTTCAGAGGTGGCTTTGGGTTGATGAACACTAGTGGATTTGTCCATGACTTAGCAGTTTCAAGGAAATGTTCAATAAGAAGAGAATTGCAAAGCTAAACCTTGTAATATTTAACTTGTAATAGCTCTGATCCCTCTGATATGTGCTTGTGTGTGTGTATAAATAATTTAGTGCATTTCTATTTAGACAGATTGCAGATCGACATTTGCAATATAGACAAATTAAAGAAATATAATAAAAATGGGAAAAATTAATAGGAAACCAATAATATCTATCTTTAGAATACACCATGATTTGAATAATCTGTAAATAGAGATGTATGTATCAGGTGCTTTTCCAGTCTAAAGGTGGAATTGACAAAGCATCTCATTGAGAAAGCAGAGATAGTCTTCTAAATTTATATTTCATAGCAATGTGAAACAGTTTTTCAAAATGTTAGGCAAACATTTGTCTAAAAGAAATAAATCTAATGAAAGATAATAGATCATTAATACACATATTCTTAATATTCTGTTGCTAAATGAGGACAGCTACTCTTGTGCCCGATGAATTTTCCCAGCAACTGTGCAAGGCAGGAGAAAAAAGTTATTTTCATCATATGGAGTATGTTTAATACAAAATCTGTATTATTTTTGTATGTTTTAAAAGTTTACTTTAACAGTAAATTTAACACAAAAACATTCAGATCACTCTAACTTAAAGTCAGCATACTTTGCAGACATTTGGACTTACAGCACTTTGTGAAGTAAACAAATTTCAGAGTAGGGGAAAATGAAATTTAGAATTGTGTCTTGGTTGAGTTCATTCAGCAAGTCTGAAACAAAACCAGTAACAGACTATTGACTTACTGTAAGCACGTTGCCTTTCCCAGGGGAATAATTTACAATCTTTCTGTCTGCTTTTTCTTCCATAACTTCTCAGCAAAATGAGAAATGCACACAGAAGGGTTAATGCACACAGTATCTTTAATTTTCTGCTGTTTAAGATATCCTTCCTCTGATGTGTCATACTTGGACAAGGCAGGCAATAAATAGGATGTATACCCTGGGCATGATACAGAATAAAAGCATGCCTGAACCTCTTAAACAGGGTGATACTATTCAGGACAGCTGTGTGTTATGTAAAGATTAGCACTGTAATTCTCCTAAGGACAACAAGAGCTTGGGTTATCCACAGCACTGCCTGTTGCATAAGTTAAAGCTGCTCAAAGACAGCTTTATTTTGTACACCTGACCTTTTAAAACACTCCACTCTTCTATTGAAGATGTGGTTTCACTAGCTAACTCAGGGAAGATGTAGCCCCTTTTCTCCACTCAAGCTTTTTGAGATTAAAATCTCAAATCCTGAACCTGTAAAGTGATTTAATTTTTTTTTAATGGAAGAATACAAAATTGACCAAGTTCATTTGCTCTTCCTATTAAAGTTATGTAAAAATGCAGTTCACAGAGGATGAGCTCAAGTTCCTCTCCAGCTAGTTGGAAGATGTCTCAGTTCCAGTAGATGGCATTCATGTAGCTTTACATTTTTTAACTTTTTATGGTTTCAGGACAAGGAACACTGCAGCAATCCATTTTGCTGCCTCCACCAGTTTCTTGTGCTCTTTGGTTTATGTTACAGAAAGGAAAAGCAAAATAAGGGGAGATTTTTGTGAGTGCCTCTGCCCAGTCAGCACTCCTGGTTTACCAGTGTCCCAGGACACCAGTTAATTTGAACAGCAGCTGAAATGCATTTCAGGCTAGCAGTGAATGTAAATAAATAATTTCATGCTTCTCAAGTACTTGGTTATCACTGGCTGGGTAAGGTAGGAGATGATTATGCAAGCCTATGGATATGCAGAAATCAAGATCCTTAATCTGTACATTCATAATTTTGTTCATATGGTGCTTTGGAGTTGAAAACATAATATTTTTCATTGCTCAGCATGCCTGGATGGCAGCATCTACCATTCTTCATGTTGTGGCATCCTGCTTATTCATGGTGGTGCACAGTGGGTAGTGGCTGGTGGTGGCTTGCTCAGAAGAACTGGGCAGCAGAGGTGCAAAGTAACAATTTTCCAGCAAGGGGCTGAAAAGAGCAGCTGGTGGTTTCATCTCTGCTGTGCCCAGGGAGCACCAAGGCAGGCCAGAAGCACAGCAGGCAGCATGAGGAACAGGCAGTGGTGCCAAGGTGGAAGAGCTGTTCTGCATACATGGAAATTAAGATTTTAAAAAATAAAGATTTTTTCCATAATCACACAAATCTGCTGCTTCTGTATGGTGCTTCTGCACAATTGTGAAGATAAAAACACTTGCCAAAGGTTTGCATTACATTTTATTCATAGAACATTGTCTACAAATACATGAGGGCTTGCACTTTGCTAAGTTTGATTTTGTAAGGAGATTGGAAAAGAAAAAAGCTGTGTTAGGAACTACCATTTTCTGGGGCCAAAACACAGACAAATTTGATTTTCCTATATTACTGTTTTCAAGAGCAGTGCATCCATAAATATGTTAAACAAAGAATGCATAGGTGTGGAAAAGACAAAAAGACAGGGCTCCTCTCTGCTCTGCCTTTGTCTAGATTCCAAATTCAGACTTTGCATGCCTTGACACTAGAGGCACAGTTCAAAAGCTGTGGTCTTTGGTCATGTTTCAACAAGCACACGTTTGAGGCTCAGATGATTTTTATCACCAGAAAATATCCCACAAGTCTCTCTACAGGTCTGTAGTGAAACAATTCACTAGTTCTTTTACAGCTGAAGTTCTCCCTGAGGTCTGTAATTGTTTTTTGTAAGATTTATTTAACTTAAGCATTTACAATTATTTAGTCCTTTCTTGTTTTTATTATTAGGTTTTAACTATATTAATAAAGGATTATATTTGTGACAGTGGCACATCTACTTTTGTTAACGTCATCATCTGTGAATCTCTTGCCTAAAAAAATCTTTGTTAATTTGTAAGAGTAGTTACTTTGAATGAACTGTCATTATAAGTGGGATTGTTTATTTGAGTGACATAACTGAGTTTTAGGATATAAATGTGTAGATGCTTTGAATTAAGATAAAATGAGAATTTGCATTTGTCACCAGCTTCCTATTCAGACTGTTGCTGCTCAGAGTAGATGTATTGACCCAATATATCCCATTCTAGAGTTTAATACATTCTTACCCTCTAGTACAGATACTCTTATCCCATAGATGCAGAGCCAATCATTGAACTTCCCTTGTGGGACAGCAGATCCAATACTCCCCCTCCCCTCCCTGCTGTAGGTTCAGTTCTGGTGGAAGTGTAGCTTTGGGTGGGGTGTCCCAGATGCAGCACTGCAGCTCCTGCCTGGGCTGATTTACCCTGAGAGGTGCAGCAATGGCATCAGAATGTTTTCAGCTGCTCAAATTATGCTGTACTATGCAGCATTCCTTGGTTAGGAAAAAAGGAATTGTGTTGCATGATGTATATATATATATATCTATATATGTATGTCTAAAGTACTGTCATGTACAAAACACAGACAGCCCTGTATCTCTCTGAGAGCAAAACACACTGATGGACAAACTTTTGCTTTGTTGCAGGAATGAAGACGATGATCCAAGAAAACACAGCTTCTTCAAAACGATAAATTTCCACAGGTTAGAGGCAAACCTTGTTGACCCTCCATTTGTGCCAGATCCATCAGTTGTCTATGCCAAAGATGTTGCAGACATTGCTGACTTCTCTGAAATACGAGGAATTGAGTTTGATGACAAAGACAAGAAGTTCTTCAAAAAGTTTGCGACAGGTGCTGTCCCTATACCCTGGCAGGAGGAAATCATCGAGACGGGACTGTTTGACGAACTGAACGACCCCAACAGAGTCGTTTCTGGAGGTTACGCAAATGGAGGGGAAGCTAAGTCAGGAGTTTGTTTGTTGTTGTAATTATATCATTACCAAAAAGAGTAGAAACCACCTCAGAACTTTCCATGTTCTGACTCTGTTTCAGAAACTCAGTACACCTGTTTGAGAAGAGCCAGCCAGTGTAATGTGACATTGACAGGCTGTGTAGGACCACCAGCTGAATAGACTGTATTATTTTCCTTTGCTCTAAGAAAGGAGATATTTTTGTGTTATTGGATATGAATCAAATGAAGACCCATATTTCTCCAAGAAGCTTAGAATAGAAATTCTGAAATACAAAAAAAGCATTGTTAGAGTGAAGAGGCAAAGCTTTTGCAAATGACTGTTATTGCTTTCAATACAATGAATCATTGGTTTTCTTTCTTTTTTTCTTGTTATTTCTACTAACATTTCCTCTTTATTCCACAGTTTTCAGGAAGGATTTTTAAATTTTCAGGTAATCTTGGACAGTGGAGCTCATATACCCTGTCAAACTTGGAATCTTACTGGCTACCCAGTCTTTCTGTTAAATTCTGTAGGTTTTTGGTTTATTGTAATATGTTCAAATTGTCATAAGATATAAAGAAAGCTCTACATATCACTTGGAAATAAGAACAACAGGATCAAACTCTTTTCAAAAGTGATTTTAATGGGGTGAAGATAAGATTGCACCAATGTAATGGAATAAAGCATTTATTTATTATTATTATTAAGTGTATTCTTATAAGTGATAATACTGTATACAAAGAAAACATATTTACAAGTAAATACGCATTCCTTTTGGCAATTTTAAAGTTTTATCAGATTTCCTGATAATTTTTCTGTATTTTGGTGATAAATTAAGCTACAGATAGACCAAAGCAATTTGTAATTGATTTTTACAATACATTTATTTCAGTGTAATGTAGATTTTAATTCAAGTTGCAAAATGCATTATACTGTTGAGTGGTGTAATGGTGAAAAAGTTATGTATGCAAGTTGAAACTATCTTCAAATGTTTATTGATTCTAATGCAAATTTTGAAGTGTTTTTATTTTTCAATTTTATGACAACCTAAATTGAATTACTTGGGAATATTGCTATGAATACTTGCTACTGGTGAAATGTATTACTCATGAGATGCCTCCTGCTGATTTTCTGTGATAAGAAAATAGGCAGTTGTTCTTTGCACAACTTTAAAAACCGAGCCTGCACATGCTGGTCACTGTCATCTCTCCAGCCATAATTTCCATTGACTAAAGTGGAAGTGGAAGCTGCTTCATTCCTTGGAGACCTGGAGGCTGCAAATGCCCCATTTTCTGTTTTTCATACAGCAAACTTCCTACTGAACTCAAGGACTTCTTTTGGCTAGACACTGGTATGAACTCACATGTCTGTTTCAGAGGAGGAAAACCTGTATATACAATGTCTTCTGTACTCCGGTCTGTCATGTGGAGCACTGGTATTGGTATTTATTTATATCCTAATAGCACATCCCAAACTCTTAAGTTTTAAATACTGTAAGTATTTTAGTCACAGCTAAGTAATACATTGGTAATACTTTGTGTTGTTCTGAGTAGAAAAATAATTGCTCTTTTTTCCTTTTGAATTTACTTTTCCGGTGCTTTATATACTTAATATTGAAGTGAAAAATCAAGAACAGTTTTACTTAGGATTAGTGGGTAATTCTGTTCATGAATTATGAGCATAAAATTGTCTGCCTTTTGAATGGAGACTTTGACTCTGACAAATAATTTAAAACAATATAAGCTGAATTCGGTTTTTTTAATTGAGAAGGATGATCCTGAAAGATGGTGAAAAGCAGAGGAGGTTGAGAGAAGAGTGATGTCATCCTGGCATGGATTTACAAGAGTGCTTCCACTATTGACGTCCATTGATTTTATTTCTCATTGCTCCCACCTGTAGAAAGCTCTTACAGTGGTAGTAAATATACTAGAGTAGTATATTTAAGAAGCCAAGACAGAAAACTTTGTTATTACATGCATTTTAAAAAGCCCACAAAACACAAAGTGACACAAAAAACCCACAACCACCACCTGATTACAGCTAGGAGAGATGTTAGTGCTAGTGGCATCAAACCTTTCTCCTGAATTGATATACCTCAAATCCAATGAAAAAGCTGTTTCAAAAATCCTCCAGAACCATAAAGCAGAACCATAAAGCAGAACCATCCTCTGAAATGGCCGTAGGTTTTCCAGTGCATAACTGAGTTTTAAGTTGCCATTTGGAAAGAGGTTATGTATAGACAGAACCAGAATTTAATGTCGTGTTAGAATCACATATTCCCAGTGATAGTGGGTGCTGCAAGGCTGCATTTTTCAAAATGTGCTACAATACTGAGATCTGTGAATTTGGGACACCATGTGGGCATAACATTGGGTTATTTGGTTTTAGAAATGTTGTGGTGTCAGTAATCCCAGCAGGATGTGCATCAGTGAGATCCATAATGTTAAGTGTTTAATGAATCATTCAGAGTAACACATCAGAAGTCTGATAATGCACAGTTTGGCACAGTGTATGACAGAGAAGAATGTGTTAGTTTGAAATATTCATTTTAATTTTCTAAATTCACTTTTCACAACATGGACAGCTTCTTTTTGCACCTTGGAAAGGAGGCAGGGCAATCATTTCTGTATTCCCATTAGCACTTTCCGTGAGTCTTTTAAAAATTATTTTCACCTTTTTTTAAAGAATCTGTGAAATACTTTGTTCTTTCCTTCTTCCTGCTACTGTAAAATTCCTTGTTAAACTTTCAGGAGCAAAGTTCTTTCAACAACCTGCTTCACCTTAACAAAAAGCCAGCAATCCCAAAAGATTTACATGTTCAATGAATTGTCTTACTCCAACCAAAGATGCTGCTTGTGTGAGTAAACTTAAATGAATATGCAAGTGTTGCAAGAGCAGGGCCCAAGTCAAAAGTAGTGACCAGGTCACTGGATGTTTATGATAGAAAATGAGGGATGACTGGGGGAGGAAAATAGCCATGTGGTTGTGGATTACTTGAGTTGTTGTGGCAAAAGGAAATTATGTCATTTGAAACTGCAGGTTTTTTCTTCTAGCTGTCTCCCTTTTTCCTGCTTTGCCAATGTTGTGGTGTCTCACTCGGCTGCCTTGTTTTCCAGCAGACAAGATGCATTTGAGTGCTAATATAATCTAAAATACTGAATTGTGAACTCTATTGCATTAAATGCCATTTGTGACAGGTTCCAGGGTGCCCTGGCCACTCTGCAGGCATTGTACAAACAGTGCTGTCTTTGCTGCCGTGTTTTTCTCAGCCCAGCTGCTGGAACAGTTTGGTAACTCTGACTGTAGCAAGCAGTTGATGTGTTCTTACAGGAACATCATTTAAAGTTCAACAACACTCCTGCTGCCTCTGAAAGGTACAACAGAAAGACCTTTCCCTTGTATTTCAAGTCCAGATTTTCTTTGATGCTACCTCTGTTCCCCTTACCATTACTCCCCTCATTTCACTGAGCACAGAGACAAAATGATGCTTGTTATTATAATATTAACCTAATGAAATCATTGTTCACAGAGATTATTTCTCAGTGGCACTGATTACCTTCAGTTGTTTCATCACACAGGCTTAATAAACACCTTGTGCTGCAGCAAGTAGTTCACATTTATATTCCAGCATGAAATGGATTTAGTAATAGGAACCTGTGTGCAAATTCCTGGCACATCTTCAAAGTGGCATCTTTATTAGGGAAGGCAGCTTTACATTAAGCTAAGAGCATCATAACAAATATAATACTTGAGATAGTTATTTCTTCAACTATAAACTAATGCCAATACAGAAGTAAGATGAGATCTGTACTTAGAGCAGATGCCTGAAATTGTACAGTTGTAGTTATAAAGTGATGCATGGTTTTATATACTTTTAATATCAGCATTTTTTAAGAAACAAAATGCTTATAATACTGTATTTAAAATATTCTCACTTTTACAGCTTTTAATCATATATCTGTAACATTTTTCTGATCTGAATATCCACATCTATGATGAGGATAAGTAAGTATGCTGATGTTATTTACCTTAAAAAGTATAAATTGCTTATTTAATGTTATGACAATAGTTCTTATCTTTTTATCATTAGTTTTTAATACCAAAACATTTAATCTCTTTATGCTGTAATGAATTGTAGAAGTATTTTTATTATAGACAATGTTTTTTCCTCCATAATAGGATTTTAAATAAGATCTTAGCAACTATGGCTCACAGCTCTATAGAAGCACTGAAAATCCTTCCAGTTCTGGGACTTCTGCTAAAAGCAAAGTGTACATTTTTCCTGTGTCAGACACATCCATTTTGAAACCTGCAGGTGGAAGAAGGTACTGGTGCTTTCCAGTTTGAGACCTGATGTGTAATGTTTGGGTAAAGGTCCCCTGTGGTCAGGGCAGCTCAGGGAGTGCATTTGGAGCTTTGTGTCACAGCAGCCTTGGGGAGCTGCATGGGCACAGTGAGGAGTGCATGGACAGACGCTGCAAAGCAGCTCAATTCAGCACAAGACATTTTATGATTCAGCACTGCCTCATTACAGCAAGGAACACTCAATCTAGTATTTAATTAAAAAAAAATAGACCAAAAGAATAATGTTTCTTAGGAAATCATTGCTTGATATTTCTCTTGAGTTTCACTTGTGTGAACCTGAGCTGAGGTAGTGTAAAATTCTTACCAGTTAGCACTCTTCCTTGGGGAGTGGAAAACTTTTTGGCACCTCTTGCCTAGAAAAGCGGAAGAGTAAGAGCACAGAGGGTGTCACTGTGTCTCTTGGAATGCAAGTACCTTTATCCATGCTGATGTCTGTAGGAAGCACCCTTCTCCTGAGTTCCTTTCCTTCTATATGGCATGAAAGATGGTCCTTTTATTTCCCCCATTGTGTATCCTCTCCTGTCACCTGCAGAAAACTGGCACAATTGTGAATGAAGCCATTTCAGTTTTCAGGGAAACTTACTGTTACTTCTGTATCTTGGACAGGCTAAAGGTACCATAAACAACAGCTGTCTGTACTATTTAGCACTGACCCAAAGTGGTGAAAGGCTTTTGTGGGGGAAAACATGGGAAAAAACCCTCTGTGAGTATTTTTGAAAGGGCTTCTGGATATGTTAGGTCTATTCCTTTCCTTTTGACAATTTTGGGGCAGCTGCAGTGGTTAATTCCTCCCTTTCCTGTTGACCAAGCTCAAGCACAATCTGGTTTAGTAGTTCTTTTATCCTGTTGATGCTCTTTATCCATGTTTTACAATGTCTGACCTTTGTTAGTTGGCCAGTTCTTCCAGTGTTTTGTTTTCTGGTTAATGTACACTGATATGGTGCTATTACAGTGTTTGGTAGAATGACTTACAAAGAAAGAAAATTTTCATTTTTCTTCTGTACACAAGCATTACTCGAAGTTAAACATAACTAATGAATTCTGACATGTGTTTTATCAGTTGCTCTTTACCAAACTTACATGTTGGCCTGTGCAATTCATTGAAGTTATTCTGACAGTTACATTTTACAGAGTGGAAAGATACAGCCAGGCTGAACGACACACTGTGTACATGTCCTTATGATGGGAGTTCCTCATGATGAATGTTTCCGTGATTCATGTTTTTATAAAGAATGCCAAAGGGATGACTATGGATATATCACTTGTCATAACTTGTAGTTCAGTTAACAATAGTGAAGTAACAGTTAAAAAAAACAGCTATTGTACAGGAATGTTCAATTATGTTTGCTTTGCAAGCCTTCAAGCAGGCATGACATGGGATGTGCTAGACATGTCTCGTGACTTTTGAATGGCTGGGGTAAAAGGGCTACTGCAAGTAAGAGCAGATTTGTGAATCACTCCTCCCTGCAAACATTCCTGCAGCAATACATTCTGTTCCCTCTGCACACCTTTTGGACAGCCTTGGAAGCTGTCTTTTAACTCCAGTGCTGCTCTGCAGTGCTCAGTCTGTGCAAATACATTGATGGAACTACAAAGAGGGAAATGATTCCTATCTCTTGGGACTTCTCAGAGGACACAGAGCAGAGCACAGCACCGTAGTGGTACGAGGGCTTGAGGCTGCTGCTGCCATCACCAGCATGGAAGGCAGGAGTGGCTTTGGGAGTATGAAAGTGGGCAGAAGGAAGTAATTTTCATAATGCATGGAGTCACTTCAGTCCCATGTTAGGAATGGCTTCTCTAGACTGACAGTACAGCTATTTCTTGATAAAAATGGATGATTCGAGTAGAACCAATGAGAGAATGTCTACAACAGGACCAAATCTAAAGCCTTCCTGTTAGTACATTTCCTTGTAGGAAGGAATTAAATTCATAGTAAGAAGTATGGATAATTATTATAATTACTAGTAATAATAAGACCAGGATCATAAAGAAGAATTGCTAGCACTAATTTCCAATTTAGCCTGTTACTCTGCAGCAACTTGAAAGAGGCCTGATTTACAAACAAGGCAAAAGAATTCTGCTTCTGTTTCCAAAACATAATACCTTAAACAACAAACACCATGAACAATGTCTTGTTCATGACAACAGGATGTCATGAACAAGAGGAGGAAACTGTCTGGTGAACTTGTACAGGACGAGTTGACAGAATAGTAATCTCAAATATGGCATCTGATCTAAATCTGTTGTATTCTATCCTACTTATGCAAGAACTGTGAATCTGGTTTGACAACAATCATTAGGCAAAGTTTTTTTCTGAAGAATAGAGGAATTTTTTTTTGCTGTTCTTTACAAGGTTTCATCCCTTCCTCCAGGCTAACTTCTATCCTATTCCCTACGAGGACGTGATACATTAATGCAATTTTGTGAACACATATGGGAGGCCATTTTTGACCCCAAAACTGTGACAAAGTTGATAAAAACAGAGCTACCTTGAGAAGATAATGATACATCAGTAATTACCTGGTGTCCAAAGAGATGAGAAATAGAAAATGTATATATATTGAAAATTAGGCTGTAGTTTAAGGAATATTTTCTTAAGCAAAAAGGAGATGTCCATCAGTTCCTTAGTACAACTATTGTCCATGTCTGTAAATAAACTGCATCACTGTTGCAGGCTATTTTAATCAGCATCCACATAGAAGCATTCATCCTAATATTAAGTAAGGTTTGAAGAGACATTTAAATATCTTGCTGCATAGA